CATTAAGAAACAGTTCAAGCTTAAAAGAGTCAAGAGATTAGTCATTAGTGATTAGAGAGAGGCAGATTAATATGGGAAAGAGGAGCTAAAGTATCTACTTTGATCTAGTATCTTCATGTACAATGTTAGATGACTGATGATATCCACTTGGCATCTAGGCTGATAAAGTTCAGAAATTTCTAATGACCAAGTGTGTATCAACTGCTTTGAACCTTCTGTAATGATATCCTTAATCCTATTGGCTTAGCATATAATTCTATAATTCAGTCAACAAATTTTCCGGGGGCTGCGCCCCCGGGCCCCTGCCGCCGCTCGCTTCGCTCGCGGCGGTAGCCTCGGAGCCGGCGCTTCACGCCGACTCCTCGCCTACCCCTTTCAAAAATCCTGTGCACGCCCCTGAGGTAGCGCAGAGTCGAACTTTCGGGATTGTTGAAATCTGATGCGTATTGATCTACAGTACGTTTACCTGTCCAATTGACATAACTCCTTTGATATTCCTAACAATCGTCTATTACCTTATCATGAAATGCGTGACACATTCTAAGTAAGAGGTTTCGGATTTTTTATATCATATATCGCCGATAAAATATTGGCAGTTTCGAAGTCGTATCACATCAGGTCAAATAGCCTAAATAGCCTTGTTAGGTATGGTTATCATTTGATCCGTAGATTCTCAATTCTGCCAATCCTTTAGCCTCGATCTCACCAAGACAAAAGCAAAAAATATGCAGGAATAATTAACTGAAATGGGAAACATTTGTATTGTGTATTTGTAGGCTATCCTTGACTTTAACAAAATATGCAACGGTGACAGGCCTGGATGAATTACCAGGACGTAAGGAAGAGTAATACATGTGAATGCGCTTTGTTAACTTACTTAATACATTTTGTTGTCCATCACGGTTTTTTGTTCACGCTCCTAGTATCATGATATTATCTAGTATATATGTTTTACTCGTAGATAACATTGGTTTTTGTTATTAATGTATTTGAATTCTATTGAAAATTAACAATAACTTACTAGCTCGTTGCAATTACCTTGGTTTTCATTTTGTAACTTTAACTTTCTAGCAATCAAAAGCAAGATAATATGACTGACCAAATACTGGCAGATGAAGCCACAATTCAGCAGCACTTTGCAAATTTGCTCGTCAAAGTAAACAGCACTATCCATAATCAAACTACGAGGCTGGCTCTCTCTTTTTACAACTTGGTTCAGGATTTGTTGAAAGCGTCAGCAGCTCAACTCCCAATGGAAAGTCAACAAGGATACGCCAGCATGGAAGATGCAGCCAGCTTTTACCTAAAAAGAATGGAAGCGGATTTACCTGAATTAAAATCGTCTCGAAGTGAAATGTTGGATTCACTGTCATCTCTGGAGCACATAATAAATTCAATGTGCATCTTGGACTTGAAACAGAGGGGAAAAGAAAATGTTGGAGCAGTCAAAACAGAAAGTCACGGAGCTGTTAAAGATTTTCTAGATTTATCGAACGAGCTCACAGGGGGACAAGTAGATGTAGAGCAGCTAAAATGCAACGCTAGACTCAAGAACGCACTGAGACAACCCTTCGCTGTCCGTGCACAACTGAAATTAAAGTATTCGTATCTTGTAAAGGTGGAGCAAGCAACAGAAAGTGCTAGAACCTTTTCAGCACTGATGATTCCGGGGATACCCTCTTGTTCGGAGCGCAACAAGTTGACCAATGACTCCCGCTACCACTGTGAGGATAGACTTAAGGAAGCTCTGAATTCATTGCTTAAGAGCTGCGCTGAGTATTTGAAACTGAGATAGAGCAGGATGTTCAGGCGTGCACGAAGAAAACATTGTGGTATAACTATTTTAAGGTATCATTTTGTTGTGAAAATTAACAAGAGAATGTACGTAATGTGGATGTTTTTTTATCAGGTACATACGTTTTTGGATTTATAATTTTTCTAAAGTTGAATCTTCATGACTATCCTTTTAACAAGAATTTCGCCGCGGTTAAACCACGCACGATCAATTTTCCCTACGATGTACTTGTATTTTGTACCATTAATTCTTTCGAGTGAAAAGTGTGACTGGAAAAAATAATAAATGAGTGGGATTCGCGCATGGTAAAAATTGACGATTTATTTGACCAATAGACCAATGCCGCGCGCATCAACAATAAATGAATCCAGAAAATTGTGGAAAATAACTTTGCGAAGGAGGAACTTCACTGTAATTAATTAACACATGGCTAGCGTCGCGCAAAGCATAACAGACGCTTCCAATACACATAATTATAGGGGAGTGGTCTATATTGCGAAGGAGCTGACTTTTGTCGACACCGTAGGACCGTCGGGCCACCTCATATATCCAAACCCGATTACTTATTCCCTACGATCTTTTTGCCTTCGGCAAGAGTAGGGAAAAAAATTATCTGGATACAACCTTTAATATCGAAGTACACTGCTGTATATTGTACAAACAAACGCTTTGAGTACTTTGCCACATAAATTCATGTAATCGTGCTGACAACAATTTCTGATGGTCCAAAACATAACAGACTGCTGATCCTAGTTATCAGTATGGAAACCTCTTAAATCTTAATGAAACAGCTGGATATTGGTGATGCTGTGTCAAAACTAGGATGACAATTGTTGGTAAAATTTGTAACAGAATTGTCTTTAATTGACTTTCTTACATTTAATTAATAATTAAGCTCATTTATATTGATTACTGATGTTTGTAATTTAAACGTTACATCCTTGCACTTTGAAAATTAAAGACAGGGTTGCGATGAATTAAAGATGGTGAAGCCTTCAAAATGGTCAGAATCAAAGAAGCCTTCGCCAAAATTAAGCATATTATTTATATTACGGAGTGTAAATATTTAGTTAGAAAACTCTCAGTTTAGTCCAAGCGTGATGTTGTGTAGGTATATATCCATCAAGCTTGAAGGGAGAAAAATAGAGGTTGAGAAGCTAAATTGTTGACAGTTACTCAAGAGTCAAGAACGCATTTCAAGACATCCTTAAATCATACGAGCACATCTTGAATTAAAGTATGTGCATTTTTTAAAACCCCGAAACCCTTCCTCAATCAAAAAATTATCGGGTTGGGGGTAAGGGCTTTAAAAAGATTTTATTTTCCCATGTTTTTTATGACGCATAAACTAACCACTATATACCCCAAACCAAGAAGTGTCGTGTAAATGATTAAATGATGATTCCAAAGACCCCATGCTTCAAAGATTAGTTTTTTACCCCGTTCTCGGGAAATTTCAAGTTTAAAGCTTTCCAAATCAATTTTATTTTTTTAAAAAAAGTTTCAAATGGGGTTTTTTTAATTTATTTCTGCTATTAAAAATTACATATCAAACCCGTGGGACCCCCCCTAAATTTACAAGTTAAAAGGTTAAAATTTTTATTTGTTAACGAATTTCTCGCTTAAGTTTGCCTTTTTTTTTTGTGAATTTTCTGGGAACAAGGGGCGCCAATAACAAACCCTTTTCAAAAATTCATATACTTTTCCCTTTAAATCCCCAAAATTGTTTGACATTAAACCCGTATTTTTGGCAGGTTTTAAAACTGCGGGTTTGTTTTCCCCCTTTACTGTACGTTAAAAGCAAGAAGTTGCTTGATACACTACCACTTTGGTTTACAAATTTATTCCTCCTTACTTTTAATGGTTTTAAAAAAGTTTTATAATTTTAATTACTTTTTTTTAGCGAAATAGTTTAAAAAAGCGAATTGGAAATATTACTTAAAAAAATGACGGATGCGGCAACATTTCCCAACAATTTGCCTTTCCTTTCTTTTAAAAATAAAAAAAACCGTCAATCACAAAAATGCGAACTTAAAAACCGCCTTTTGAAAACCTTGCGAAGGGTGTGTCAGGGGACCCCAAAAGGATGCGGCTAACTTTTTAAATAAAAGAATTTTAAGCTTGTACCTGGGTTTAAAACATCCGAAGATGAAATTTTTGGAACATTGTCGACTATTGACAAAATTTTTTTAAAATTCTTTTTGCATCCAGAAATTTCCACGACCTTTTTGAAATGGAAACTTTTAAAGGGGGTTAAAGGAATTTTTTTCCCACCATGTTTGGTTTAAAAAAAAAGTTGATTTAGGAAGTTTTCCTTTAAGAGGCCTAAAGAAAGCCCTTGGACATCCTTTAGCTTTTTCAGAAAAACAGCTTTAATTTTAAAAATTGGGAACCCTTTAAACATAAAGCTTAAACAGAAAAGAGCTACAACCTTGCGACACTTAGATTCCTTTAAAAAACTAAGTTACGATGAGCAGCGTTTTTCTTTTCGGGGAAAAACACTTTTAAAGCGCAACAACAAAAAAAGGGGCTTTTTATAAAAAATAATGTCCTTTAGGGGCCCCTTAACGGAAAGGTTTTTGGGCTTTTAAAAAAGCGCTGGGGGGGCCCTGGAGAAAAGGGGTCTAGAGTTTTTTAATTTTAAAAAAATAAAATAATCAACGTGGAATTTTTTAGGGCATTTCAAACGTTAAAAATAAAATATTTGTCAAAACAAAACCTCATGTTTTTTATTTTTAAACATTTCAAATTTTTAACCCTAAAACAAAAATTTTTGAATTAGCAAAAAAACTTAGGATTGGAATGTACCAAAAATTTTTTTAGTGCAAAATTTTAAGGCCTTTTAGCCTCCAACATTTTTGGTTTTATAATTTTTAAAAAAAAATGAATCTGTATTTTATGGACATTTTAAAATGAAAAAAAGTTTTTTTAATTGGGAATTTGAAATAGCTAAGAAAAAAGCCCAACATAGTTTGTTTACGGGCAAAAACCCCGTTTTTAAAAGAATTTTTTATCCCTTTTTGCACCAGGTCCCGAATTTAAAAAATAAAGAAAACCCCCTAAATTTTATCCTTTTTTAAGTTTTTTACGAAAGGGCAACCTTGGAAGAAAAAAGATGTTTTTTTTGTAAATTTTTTTTAAGTTAGTAAATTTAAACGGAATTTGAATTAAGTTTATGAAATTTTTTCAGAGAGGGAAAACTTACATCGAGAATGCTGCCGGTTTTTTTCGCGTAAAAGGGGCTCTCGGATTTTTCTTCAGGTTTTAATTTCGAACAAAAGAAACTTCCCTAACCCCCGCGGGGGAAACAGGGGGTTTAAAAGGGGTTTCACTATTTTTTGGGGGGTCAAGATTTTGGCTCGTTCATAAAAAATTTTTTTTTTGTGTAAGTTTTAAAACCTTCCTTTTTCACGTTAAAAGGGTTTCTCATTTTTTTAAACTCTTTCCATTTTGGAACAGTATATAAAGGGAGAATTTATTCCAAAACCCCCTTTAAAACCCCAATTTGTCCCCCCTCCCCGGGTGTTTTTCTGTAGGGGGGGCAATGAAACTCTGTCCCAATCCCCCCCACAAACCTTTACCGTCCCGTCCGTGCTCCCTGACAATAACTGGGAAAAAGTGGGGGGGTGATGTAAGGGAAAGTTAAGTTAGCGGTAAAATATTCGACCAAATAAATACTATTATTAGAAAAAATCTTTAGTTAGTTCAGGGGTTTGGGGGATGTATAGGGAATTTTAAAAAAATTTGTAAAGGGTCTTTCTTTTTTTCTTGTTTCAGTTGTAAAGTATATCAGAAAAGTATCGTGAAAAGTATTTTATGGTAAGTATGGTCAATTGAACTGTCGTTTACCACCGAAAAAAACAGCATGAAAGATGTGGAAAATTTAAAGGGCGCCGTTACCGGGGCGTATTTTAAATTTTCCCCCGTGGGGCACCCAACCCAAAAAACAAATTCCCAAGAGCGCCATCCATATTATCATTTGTACCTGTGGGGCCCCTCAGGGCTCCAAAAAATGAGCGTTTTTTTTTTACAGTGTTTTCCCCCTTTAGTTTCCCCCTCCCTTTTGCAAGCTTGGATCCCCCATTTGATGAAGTTCTCAGTTCCGCCACTTACAAGAAGCGAGCCGTCTGGAGGGTTTTGAAAGCTTTAGATTGAATCTTTGTGGGCCATTTAAAAAAATTTGCAGCGAGAAGAATTGGGGTTTTATTTGTAAATGTCCCCCCAATTTCCAACCCCGGGGATTTTGCCAACAGTGGGGGGTTAGGGGGTTTTTTAAAATTTTGTCGGTACACGAAAGTGCACTTCAGAACATTGATAAAAAAAAGAAAAAGTTAATTTCACACTAAAATTTTTTTTGGGGCAGTATTATTATTGGGGAATGCACTTGAGGTGCCCCAAAATCCCCTATGTAAAATCCCCCCTTTCCAGGCCCCCCCCGAACAAAAATATCCTTATTGCCCCGGGCCTTTCGCTAACTTTTTAACGTAATCTCCGGGGGCGGGCCCGAATGGGGACATTAACCCAAAACCCCTTTTTTGAAGCGTCCCCCCAATTTTTACCCTGTTTCGAAAATCCCGAAAACACTGGGAAAAAAATGCTATATAATTTTTAGGGCGAATGTTTCACAGGTTTTATTATAGCCCTTTTTGGGGGAAAAAAAGTTTTAAAATAAGAAAAAAATTGAAAATAAGGGGAAAAAATAAAAAAAGCAAGCTTAAACATGTAAAAATTTAAATTTTACCCAATCGTTTTGGTGCTCGTACTGTTTAATCAGGCTTATGTTCTAAAATAAACAATTTTTTAAGGGGTTTTTTCAGGGTTATTAGAAAAGAAAATTTTAAGGGGGGGGGGGGGGGGGGGGGGGGGGGGGGGGGGGGTGGGGGGGGGGGGGGGGGTGGGGGGGGGGGGGGGGGGGGGGGGGGGGGGGGGGGGGGGGGGGGGGGGGGGGGGGGGGGGGGGGGGGGGGGGGGGGGGGGGGGGTTCACCCTGATTTTTTTGTGAAACTTGGTTTCGAGATAGCAGTTGACCAACAAACTAGAACCAGTGACCAAACTTTTGAGGGGGTCCCGGACCCCAACCGCCAAACGGTGCCCGCGGGGCAGCCACGCCCATATTTGGTCCAAATCAGGCCCAATTTAGCCAAATACCCTGAACATGCCCAAAACCCAGATTTTAGGTGCTTTACTTGTAGCTAGTGGTCCCCTGAACTCGTATATGAAGTTTCATCAAGATTGGACAAAAAATGACTGAGTTATGAGCTAAAAACTATATGCCCATATTTGGGCATACGCACTAAATTTGATCGATTTTGGCCCATAAATTAGTCAAATATCACAATTTTTGAATGAAACTAACTTATATGAAAGGTAAGCCTAAACTACACATTCTCTATGATTATCAGCTCAATATCTACCTAACTGTGGATTCTGTGTTCAAATAATCACAAAAAATGAACAAAATCGCCCATATCTCAGTTCGCGATATTTGCAAAACTGACTTCGCTCAAAACAATAGAACTCAATAGGGTTTCAATATTTTTTTCATGAAATTTTCAGAATCAACGTAGAATTGTCTCATGACCTTAAGTTTTGGGACAGAATTTTGAGTTAGGCCTTTAAAAAAATTTGGCGGCCAAATTCTGTAAAATGCCCGGCAAATTTTAGAATTTGGCCGCCAAATTTTTTTTGCAAATATCGCGAACTGAGATATGGGCGATTTTGTTCATTTTTTGCGATTATTTGAACACAGAATCCACAGTTAGGTAGATATTGAGCTGATAATCATAGAGAATGTGTAGTTTAGGCTTACCTTTCATATAAAGTTAGTTTCATTCAAAAATTGTGATATTTGACTAATTTATGGGCCAAAATCGATCAAATTTAGTGCGTATGCCCAAATATGGGCATATAGTTTTTAGCTCATAACTCAGTCATTTTTTGTCCAATCTTGATGAAACTTCATATACGAGTTCAGGGACCACTAGCTACAAGTAAAGCACCTAAAATCTGGGTTTTGGGCATGTTCAGGGTATTTGGCTAAATTGGGCCTGATTTGGACCAAATATGGGCGTGGCTGCCCCGCGGGCACCGTTTGGTGGTTGGGGTCCGGGAGCCCCTCAAAAGTTTGGTCACTGGTCCTAGTTTGTGGTACTGCTATCTCAAAACCAAGTTTCACAAAAAAATCAGGGTGAACCCCCCCCCCCCCCACCCCCCCCCCCCCCCCCCCCCCCCCCCCCCCCCCCCCCCCCCCCCCCCCCCCCCCCCCCCCCCCCCCCCCCCCCCCCCCCCCCCCCCCCCCCCCCCCCCCCCCCCCCCCCCCCCCCCCCCCCCCCCCCCCCCCCCCCCCCCCCCCCCTTAAAGTAAGCGGTAAGAGCATTAAGGTATGTTGTTTTGGTAGTCTCCATGATCTGATAACAATATCTAGGACGTACAATCTACAACAAGACCATCAGAACCCAAAGAAAGAGAACTCACGGCTTTGTTCTTGTAATTCCATGATCTTATAACAGAGTCTCTGCAAGCAGTGAAGAGACAGTCAGCAGGAGCTTCAGCTATGAACAGTGCATTGACTCCCCCCTTGTGTACTGGCTCTGAGGTAAGGTACAGGTGGTTACATGTGGTTACTCCATAACAGGGTACATGTGGTTACATGTCAACATGTGGTTACAGGTGGTTACAGGTGGTTACTACATATAATCACATTTGTATATGGCACGGATAATCACTGATAACCATTATTGTATAAGAGAGTTTATGTTTTAATGATTTGGATAGAGCGGTGATTGGTGATCTAGATTCTATCAATTAAAGTCAATATTGTCATGTTTGAATTTATTTTAATATTATAGATATGTATGATTTGTTTAATATAATGATATGTATAATATGTAATGGAATGCTTACCGTGGACATCTCTGATAACGTAAGAAACGCTGGTCCTCTTTTTTGACATCACACCATGGTTAACCACTGTGAAATCAATCTTTCTTTCTTTTTCAGTCCATTATACCTAACCTGTGTGATGTAGTTATTTTACATCATTTATACGTTTTGTAGCTAGTAAGTAGTTTGCCACTAGTAGTTTAATTTATAAAGATACTGAATAATTTTCGTTCAAGTGGTTGCTGTTTTAGGAATTCCTTAATGCCAATTAACAAATTACTCAAGCAAGATCAAGAACTTAGGATATATCAGTATATTAGGAATCAGAAGTGTAAAAAAGTTTGAAGCTCTTTCTGCTGCACACATTATGTTTTGAAGGTGCTTTCATACAAACTGTGTTCTGATGGATAAAGCGTTCTTTAGTCCGACATTACAAGTTAGATTTTCTAAATTCACTTTACGTCGGCTATACACGGTTGACAGTCCCGGATAAATATTTTTACAGTTTCCATTTCATGAGTTTGAGGCATAATTTCTGAGATACATATTAATCTATTATCTGCTCAAGAGTTGGAATGGATGAAAGCAATCAGAGACTATGCATTTTTAGGAAACTTAAATAATTAATTTCAATAAAGTTAAAAACAATGGTATCTGATAGATAACAATTTCATCTGTCAAATAATGTTAAATATAAAAGCGTCCTTCGGTGTCAAACTCAACTCGCTATAGACCATAATAATATGATTTGGTCTGTTAATTTGATCATTTCTCAATTGCGTGTTTATAATAATGAACTTGTGCAGAGATCCCTATTTGATTACAATTGCTCGAGGTATACAGAACGAGGCTTCATATTGAGCTTTTGTGGAGAAAATCAGTAAAAATGATTAGATTTAAATGCGTCCTTTAATCTCGAACTTGACTCCGTCTATAACTCTGGCCTCTCCACAACCGTTTGTTGGCAGTGAAACTATGCACGGGCTCACACTTTATCAACAAATTTCCCCAGCTCACTGAATGACAGGGTTACACACGTGGGTCACACGTGGGTCACACGTGACAGGGTTTCACACGTGGTGATGATTCACTTCTGTTTCTTCTTCATCACTTTACCGGGACCAGCAGCTACTTCACTAGAACTATCCTCTGAGCTGTGGATCTCCTCGATTATCTCCGCTTGGTCGAATGGTAACGAGTACAAACCGTGTTCCATTACTTCTGGAAACGGGGCGTCTGAAATATTGAATATTTTAATACAAGCAGTAAATAATTAACACCCTGTTCAATCAAAACAATAGTAGTAGCAGCATCAAAAGATTTGAATACGCCTAAAGATGTTTCTAATCTTAATCTATCTAATCTTAATCTATGTTTCTAATGTTAATGTTGGTGAGCTAAAATTTGTTGTTGAACTTTTTAGCTACCTTGAGCAGAGTCTAATATAGCGGTGTCCCACAGTGTGTTGATATGTTCCCATAAGTGGGCTGATGAAATGTTGATACCAGTCCGTTCGTAAAACCTGGTTCAGGAATAATACGTATTTTAGATAAGGTAACAGTATAAGTAGGGCGGATTATGTTAGAAATACTTAATAACCAAAAAATACCCGTAAAATATCCGGAACAATAATACATAGTGAGTTCATTCAGGAATGCATCAAGTAGGAATAACGCGTTTACAGAAAATAAAAGTTTATCGAATGGTGAAGACAGTACTTGTGTTGAATGCACATCATGTGGAAGTGTTTGTTGAAGCCGACTGGTTTGTGTCCCTGCATGCTTTGAAACAAACACACCTCCAGCTCAGCGTCCCACAATGGAGGTGGCTCGTCTCCCATCCTTACCGGAGAGTATAACGTTAGTTGAGGGGAGGAGGGAGGGAGGGAGGGAGGGAGGGAGGGAGGGAGGGAGGGAGGGAGGGAGGGAGGGAGTGAGGGAGAGAGTGAGGGAGGAGGGAGGGAGGGAGGGAGGGAGAGAGTGAGGGAGGGAGGGAGGGAGGGAGGGAGAGAGTGAGGGAGGGAGGGAGGGAGGGAGGGAGGGAGGGAGGGAGGGAGGGAGGGAGGGAGGGAGGGAGGGAGGGAGGGAGGGAGGGAGGGAGGAGGGAGGAGGGAGGAGGGAGGAGGGAGGAGGGAGGAGGGAGGAGGGAGGAGGGAGGAGGGAGGAGGGAGGAGGGAGGAGGGAGGAGGGAGGAGGGAGGAGGGAGGAGGGAGGAGGGAGGAGGGAGGAGGGAGGAGGGAGGAGGGAGGAGGGAGGAGGGAGGAGGGAGGAGGGAGGAGGGAGGAGGGAGGAGGGAGGAGGGAGGAGGGAGGAGGGAGGAGGGAGGAGAGAGGAGGGAGGAGGGAGGAGGGAGGGAGGGAGGGAGGGAGGGAGGGAGGGAAGAGGGAGTGAGGGAGGGAGGGAGGTGGCTCGTCTCCCATCCTTACCGGAGAGTATAACGTTAGTTGAGGGGAGGAGGGAGGGAGGGAGGGAGAGAGGGAGGGAGGGAGGGAGGGAGGGAGGGAGGGATGGAGGGAGGGAGGGAGGGAGGGAGGGAGGGAGAGAGGGAGAGAGGGAAGGAGGGAGGGGGCGGAGGGAGGGAGAGAGGGAGGGAGGGAGGGGAGGGAGTGAGGGAGGGAGGGAGGGAAAAGGGAGGAGGGAGGAGGGAGGGAGGGAGGGAGGGAGGGAGGGAGGGAGGGAGGGAGGGAGGGAGGGAGGGAGGGAGGGAGGGAGGGAGGGAGGGAGGGAGGTGGCCCGTCTCCCATCCTTTCCAGAGGGAGGGGGAGAATTTGTGTTTAGAGTTCAAAATTTCTGATATTTCTAATTTTTCCGTATGTGCGACCAAGGGAAACTGTGCTTTTCAGGTAAAGGAAATTATAAACGAAACGAGACAGTACTCTGATAAATTGCAAAACAAAACTTCGCCTGTAAATGATAATGTACTAATTGAACAAACATGCAGAAGGTTTTAAAATGTTTGGTCCCCATTCACCACAAATGTAACTTTTTTCAACTGGCTTGAGGCGTTGCTGTCGAGCATCCATCAGCCTAGAGTTACAATACACAGTCCTTCTCTGAGTGTCCTTTCTCTCTACATATTTCACAAACATCATTTTCAAGTTTAACCAATCCGTGGTACCTGGCACAGTTCCGATCTTTATGTCCCCTCCCACCACATATGACACATTCCAACTTAAGCTTGGTCCGTCGGATCTGAGCCCGAAACTTCAGAATAGGACAATCCTTTTTTAAGTGTATATTTGGTGTATCATTGCAATTATAGCAGTATGCTTGTCGCTGTCTACAGTCTCGTGCAAAATGTCCATGCTCATCACATAAATAACACTTTGATAGCGCACTGAAATCCAGTGGTTCACTAAATTCTGTTACAATCCGTGGTTCACCAGATATATACACTACCTTATCATGCCTTGATTCTTGTCTATTGACTTTCGATGCAGGGGATGATCCATCCAATTTTGATAGAGAAGATGGTTCACCTGACTTTGATGTAGAAGAACTTCTTAATCGTGCATTTTTACCTGGCATATATGTGCCTCGATGTTCTAGATGGTTTACCTGGCTTAGATGCAGTAGATGGTTGACCTGGACTCGGTGCAGTAGATGGTCCACCTGGCTTCGATGCAGTAGATGGTTCACCTGGTTTCGATACAGTAGATGGTTCACCAGGTCTCGATGAAGTAGATTGTTCACTTGGCTTCGATGCAGTAGATGGTTCACCTGGCCTCGATGAAGTAGATGGTTCACCTGGTCTCGATGCAGTAGATGGTTCACCTGGCCTCGATGCAGTAGGTTGAATATCACATGCTTTTTTCATGCACTGCCTGTTGATACGATTAATGAATTTTAAATCCTCCTTAGTCAGACTTTCGATATCATCAAATAATTCAAATAGCTCATGATATGTGGCAGGATTCTTCTGATAACACATGGAAAAATCACAACTTTTTAACATAAACTTAAACTCCTTGCTTAGTGAAGTTTTTAATGGGTGAACCTTCAAACTCCTCAGCAGTCCATCAACGAGTATATCACTTTCCTTGCCAACAACGTGAAGGATTTGTTCTGCCATGGATTCGGATAATTCATCCAGTTTGATTTCTCCAACAAAACTTTTGATAAACTCACGTTTGTCACCTTTTTCGCTAACACTTTTGACGAAGAAATCCAAGAAGATGTGTTCCTTCAGGAAATTTTGATTATGAATGGTCCCCGCTATAACAAACAAACATTTTGTCTTTTCGTATGCATCCAACAATTTTAAATGTTCATAGACATAATCCTTTTCCTCCAATGTTGAATCAATTGTTGGTCGGCAAGAAACAGCATTTTCAAAATATTCACTACATTTTGCCAGTAACCAAGACACATTAAAGACTCGTCCCATTTTATATACATCAGTGAAGATATCTTTATCAATCATCTCTAATTCTCCGGAATACAAGGCATCAACAAAACAGTAAACCGCATCCTCACCAAAGTCATCCATGTCAAGAGAAGTTTGGTGAAGCTCAGAAGTCAGTCTTTTAATTTCGGGACTGTTGTAACACATTACAACAGAGTTAACGAGGTAATCTCCTCCGTTTTTAAGTTTCAGTTTCAAGTTGGAGTGCTCCGGAACGTTTATGTACTCTCTTCCGAAGTCACAGGGTACTTGAATTTTAGGTGCCATCTTTACTCTCCCTAGTTGTACATATCGTGTTAAGTTGTATAGTGATTAAAAGAAATACGAATAGTCCCATAACATGAAAATGAAATGTTTGACACCGAATGAAAAATTGGAATAAAATTCATTATCTGTACATTTCATTTTAAGCTTGTTTGGTGGTTAACAATATTATATTGATTAGATATTATTTTGCCTTACATTAACTGCACATATTTCCAGTTATGTTGAACGATCAATAAAGGTTTTCTGTAAGCTCTTGTGTAAAAGATGAAATGTCGCCTGTCGGACTCGCTTTTTTGGGTGGCTTGATTTCCAGGGGGATACTATTCGAATTTACAACTTTACTTCATCTCTTCCGTGATAATAAACACAAATATTTATCTTGAACAGCATTATAAAATATTATAGTTCATCCGTACATTAAATAATCTACACAATAAACACAATAAGCTATCATCAAATAAAGTGTGAAACTACTGCAAGCTAGAATAAAAAACAAGACAACAATTAACTTTATAAAGTAATTTAAAACTAATAAATCTCGAAACCAATATATAAAATGTTACTGAGTTACTGTGTGCCCAAGTATGATCAATATTCGTTAAAATCCACAGCCAATCGTTCAAAGAACTATAAAAGAGTACAACGCAATGATGACGATTTGTTCTATCTAAGTAACCAGCGGTGCTTTTACGAAAAACTGTATCGATATAACATTGGATCCTATATAACCACATAACACACCACAATATAATTATAATCATTGCTCCAATTTTAGTTGTTCTTAAAAACTGTGGAATTATAGTTCTAAGACACACCAGTATTGGTGTAAAGTTAAACATATACTTTAGTACTTTATATCTCACAATTCACACAACCAAATATTACAATACTTCTACTTCAGTCCTTTAAATATCTTTAATCATTAATTTCACGTCTTGACCGGCCCTCCATGTTGACGACAGCCGCGTGATTGAAAATGCCCTGTTCCCTTTGTCACAGTAAGACACAGAAAACAGAACTGGGTCTTACAAACTATGCAATTACCATGATTATTACCATCAATACGCTGAATTTTACTTTTGCATTTGGGACATTTTGTAATTTCTTCTGCCTTGGCATCATATTGAATAATATTCTCTGACCACTTTGTTTCGATCAAATTTACTCTGCCAACCTCAACTGCTTGTAAATCAGTAAGATCTTCCATGTCATTTGGCACACTCACTGCCTCATACTCACAACAGCCGTACCCGCCGGGCCTACCACATATGTAACAGAAATCTGTTTTACACAGAGCACACTTCATGTGGTTACATCCAGTATCCCTCATCACCCAGCATCTACATTTAGGACAAGGCTTTAAAAACGCTCTCTTCATAAGCTGAGTAAGCTTCTCATTCTTCTTGGCCACCGCCTTTAATCTCTTAGCTTCTCCCTTTTCAGCAGTTGCTTCGTCTGAGGGAATTCCTGAAACATGCTCAAACGTCTCACACTCTCCTGGGTGCCAGGTGCTATTACAACGATCACAAAAGATAAACTGACACGAGGCACAGGTGTCTAGATTGTCTTCTCCCCGAACAGCATAACCATTGCACCGAGGACAAAACAATACCATATCAATTTCTTCAACAGATTGCATTAAAAACCGCTCCTCCCATATAGGGAACTTCGCCTTTTCCATAAACTGTTCAATAGTGTCCCGCCCAACAAATGTATCACAGAGTGAGCAGTTCATATTACAGTATCTACCGCTGTCAAACTGAACCACAATCAGCGTGGCAATACAGTCTACACAGTACGGATGTAAACAAGTCAGCAGACACAGATCCTCCCCAGGAAACTCACAGAAACAAGTACAACAGTCGTGAGATTGGGTTTTGAACAGCTTGACGGTGCTATCCTTGTTACTTTGATCTAGAATTGAAATTCTAGTCACAGCGTCACAGCAGTATCCTTCAGCTGAGTCAGGGATGTGGATCTCATCATATATATTCAGGTGCTCCAGCAGGTTATCTTGAATCCATGTGATCATGTCAAAAATTACTGGCTCCCCTTCAGTCCACAATGATTTCAAGTGGTGTTCTACCGATTCAAGTTCATCTTTTGACAGCCACACACAGTTTACACTTAATGATGCTAGATTTTCCTGTTCAGGATATTTATCTGATGGTTTACATGAAAGTAGAACTGGGGCAAGATAACTTTTACCCCCAAGTTTACAGAGCTGAAAACAGTGATATTCTTGGTCTGCAAGTTAACTAAGCACTGAACGCACAATTCGTCTCCTGCTACATCATTGTACAATACTTCAGTTCCTAAAATACTCTCTAGTACTTCTACTTCTTCTTTCCATTCGTCAGAGGGCATACACTTTGAAATGAATACAGTTATTAAAATAATAATAGTTACGTGTTATGATTATTCAGTAGCTACAATCGTTTGTCTAACTTTTGGGATCAAGATATCCAATTTATCAATATAATAGTGTATCAAATAATGGAGCAGTAACTAACACATTTAGTAGTGAGGAAAGTTTTGTTTTTTCCGATATAAAACATTACATAATATGTAGCCTATCATATAAAAATGTGTCGTACATAATGTTATGCTATTAACTAAAGTATGAATGAACTCATTAGAAACAATGTATTATAGAACATTATAAATTAGATGTTGGCAACAAACCATAAAATATAAATAGCACAATTTTTCAATCCAATGGTCGAATTCGATAGTATTAGAAGATTTCAGGCCTAACCTAGAAATTGTAAAATCACCATTAAAATTTGCCTTAATATTGCATCATAACTTAATTCAGAATGAAAGCAACTCTCATTCAGAGGAACCCAAACATCAACAAAGAATCGAACTATCAAATCATTTCCGTCATGACCGTTCACGCTCCCGTTCGCGTTGCGCCTTCAGTCCATGCTTCACCTCAACATATTTACAGTACTCAATAAGTCTGGAGTGAAGACCAAGCGCTCTTTTCATTCGGTAGCTTGGTAACTTAGTCATAAAGATGGCGTTTAGGTGTCCATATATCAGACAGTCAAGCTCTGTAACCAAATCCTGCACAAGTGAGGCTTGGTAAGACAGCAATCTCAATTACAAGTTAGAACAGACGCAACTATATTCGAGACATGAAAAAATAGACAAAACCTAATGAAACAAATGGTTGTGTGATAAGTGATTGCACACATTTAAATATCTTAAAATCAAGTGTGTTGTAAAAAATTCCTTACCTGGCCAGTGTCAGAGTCTTTGAAGAAGGTACCCTGGTCTCCCAGTCTTTCAGTCAGAGCACTAGCTACGTCTTTAGTTTCTACCATTAACATTTCAGAGCTAATGTCGTGCCATTGTCCTTGACTAGCGACTAGTCTGTATACCTGTTACAGTACATAATAAGAGGTTCAATTATCTAAGTTTATCATAAAGGCAAAGTGTAATATAATAGTTTTATTTGAAAGCTGGAGTAAAGTGAAAGAATACAATTTATATGTACAATGCAACCAGAGATACTGATTCCTGATCTTACCTGTCTTTTTTTGTAGAAGGGTAGTATAGCTGATAATGGCCAGGTAGTGTGGCTAGTATACGCTGGTAGTGTAACATGCGTGTAATTATCTTCTATCAGCCATGATGTAAACAGTTCCAAGGCCTGAAATATTTTATTTCATTACGAGAGAATTGCTTGTTAAATTTAATCAAGATGTATGAGGATTGACAACAATCCCTAAAAACAGAACGAAAATAAAACATAACTTAAACAATATACCATGTGAGTAAAAGTTGTTACCTCTAATCTCTTGATAAGAGCTGTGTAGATATCCATGTCACACCTCTCAGTTTGCGTTAATTTCTCACTCAAACTGTAACCTCTCCTAGTGAATTTAAATCTATTTGTCATCTTATTATCTAATTATCTAAATTCACTTTATAAATTAGACAAAGCCAATAAGAAATTTGATATTCATCAACTCTTATAGTTATAACAAATCACAGTATTTCCACAAATTAACTCTTACTTCCAAAGATATTTAACCAGCTCAGCAAATCCGCATACGATATCCTTTTCATTGAAGATGAGCACAGGAAACCGTCCATTTGTTGATATGTACTCAACATTGGACTTGATTTCTACCTGATAGCTAAGCCTGAAATGATGTTTCATTTTATTGAATCAAAAATTGCTTATAATGTAAGTCATTAATAACATTTTAATAAATTCTTGTCTGTTTAACTACAAGACATACCCATGTCTCTCTAACAACACTTTGATAGAGGTAGCTTCACATCGGCTAGGGAGTAGTTCAAAACCTGAAAGATAGATTAAATTGAGCTTTTCTAATATTGGGGATCCAAATATTTAGCACATTCCAGTTAATTATCATTAAGTGATTGTTAGGGTAGTAAAACCGCATGGAACATCAATATAGCTCACCTTTAGGGTGGTCAATAAGACGAATACTCTCTATTTCATTGTTCATAGTGGTGGAAATATCATTCAACTGCTCAAGGATTGACATTCTTCAGGAAATTCAAATTAAGATTTTGTATCTAAATCTTTTCAAACAATATCTTTTCCGTCTAATACCACCAAAGCCAAGCCATAACTTTATTTATAAATCTTCTTGGCTTTGGAATCAATTCAAGGACTCCAATCCACAGAATAAACCTGACTTTGTGAACACATCCTGTAACTTAATCAAATCAAGGCTAAACCGATCTCTTCTAGATGCCCAAAGCAGGTTCGATAATGAGTGGCATAATGACAACTTTAACAGTTTTGGACCATGCTAGATTATTGATAAAAACGTGGAATTTATGTAAACAAATACTTAATTACTTAAATATTGCCGTTTCCGTACGGCGCTATACGTAATATATGTTAAAAGCGCGCCGCAGCTACTCCCTACCTCAACATTTGCGCGGGTTTCTTAAGCGCGCACGTACGTTTATTCTTGGCCGTTAATCAGACCCATGACATAACGCTATAGGTGGCAGTGACTGTAATTTTCTTCAACAATTACTGAATTATCCATCCATAAAGTGATTTACAAAATGACACCTAAACCTCGTGTTTCGGTGTTCACTTAAACGGTACTTGGCGGCTGAACTGTGGTGTCTGACGTTTGCAGCTAGATCGGACTCTGCATGATATTGTATTAGCAAATTTGTATAGTGTATAATTGTTTAGTGTTTATAATACTCTGCAACCTGGTAGCACGGCTGACACAAAAACAAAATGTTGGCCTGGCTTGTGCATAACCAAGTAAATAACACGCACTCCAATAAAAGCCGTCTGGAGAAACTCCGCAAAATGTTCATTGTAGTCAACGGGCACAAAGAAGCACTACTAGCAATTGTGTCCTTTACCCTCCTACATAATTTGAACATTTTTGTGGCTAACTCATTGAACAACATCTGAATTAAAATGTGTTTAGTATTAAAAGATTCAGAAAGTAATTTTTCATGTACGCTGTACACTGTAGTTAGTAAATCAAATCAAACTTTTTCGATCAGCCGCGCGCTGAACCAGTGTTGCACTAGGTAAAAATTGTGTATATTTTGTTCATTTTTGAGTGTAAATTAATTTATTAATTTATCACAAATTATTTTATTATAATATAACCACTTATGTGAAATGGTTATTTTGACTTTAAATATTTGAACTAAATATGAATTGATTGTGGGTATAAAATAAAATTTGTTTAAAAAAAAAAAAAAAAAATACATAATTATACAGAATTGAATGCTTGTAAATAAACCCAGATATAAAAGGAAAAACCAATAGCCCAAATTTACAGTATCCCAGTATATTGAAACCCAAACTATTTATTGAAAGAGGGGTAACCAAAGAACAGTAGTGTGCAGTAAGAAATACCACACCCACAATAACATTAGGCCCAAGCAAAAAACAAATTAATCAATGAATCAAAATATATAGAAAAACAAATTTGTTACATAATATTGTATAATATTGTATTTATAGAAAATATATAACTCTCAAGGCTCGTTCTCTGAGCTAACGTCTCAGAGTTCCTGATTACCTGAACTTTGTCCGGCTCTGCTATTCTTTTATTGAGTAGCTGGTCGACAACTTTCTTGTAGGCCATCCTGCCTGCAGCTGATCTATCTGGAGTGATATAAACTGAGCTAAACCCCTCCCCAGTAAATCCTATGAACTGCCCATGTGGCCAGCACGACCCAGACGCCTGGGCTCTTTCTTGTACCAATTGCACCCAGACATGGCACAGCAACTGTTCCAATCTTAAGGGTATCACTAAGAATTTTGTTGAACAGCTTACCTACTGGATGTGCCCCTTTCCTCAGCCCACTGGGCATTGAAGCCTGCAACAATACACAAACTAACACTCTAATACTGCAACTGAGGATATCTAACTTATCAGATGACAATGCTTCCCTTAGGAAACAGATAACCTCCCTTGAGGATAAACTTACCTTTATGATTGCAGACACCGACAGGATCAGTAGCAGTATCAGAGTGGTGGCCTTATCAGACATCAACACAGGTCTCACGCACTTGAATCTGCAACAAGATAAGGCCAATTTGACACTGAAGGCCTTATCTATGTATTCTCTCTTTAAGAAGTCTGAGCTCAGACCACAATCATCTCACAATTTCGCCTAGAGGGGCAAATCTATGGAATACGTTTCTTGAGTAGTCAAATGCACGTGGTAAAATAGGTTCACTAGGCTCAATTAAATCCCAATTGAAGCATTACGAAACACTTGTCTTGACTAATATGATTTAATGCTGACAGAGGGCCCTTTTCTATTTTTACCCATCAATTTCTATTTCACATAGCCATGTGAATACGCGTACTGCGTGACGCGCTTGTTTCACAACTTGTTTCGGCGGTCGCGCTCTACTGCAAGCGAGAGGGCTCTGGTTAGAGCAAAATTTCTATCAAGAGAGGGAATTTCAGTAAAAAATTGTCTTTTATTCCACTAATCTTTTTTTTCACAAAAATTTTCGTTTTATCTTAATTCAATAAATTATTCAAACAATATACACATAATTGTCACAATGACCCTATATAAAAACAACCCTTCAAAAAATCAATATATTCCCCATCTCAAATATTGGGAGAAATACTTGAAAATAACCCTTGACCTTGTGGCTCCAAATTCAAATCTACACTATTTATATCAACAAAATTCTTTCTCGCACCTCTGTCTCCCCGTAGAGAAATCACTGTTCTTCTTAGGATTTCGAAACGAAGGCGCTTCCTTATGTATCCCGCAGCATCCGAATACCTTTGCCCTGTGTGGTATTCCATCTTGTTTGTTTGGGGACCGGTTTTTTATACCCGGCCAATGTTTACAAAATAATATAATACATAACAATATAATTTTATTTAATATGCGTGAATATGAAAATTGAAAATGTTGATTACGTCTATTCATTAAAAACAAAAACAGAAACTTTAAAAATTAAAACTTGTATATCATGATTTATTAACATATAGTGACAAATAATTTGATTTGATACGACAGATGATCTTACTAGCCAGCTTCTTTACTAGTCTTTTAGCTTCACCACCCATTCCACCAGACGTTGAGAAAAATAACAGCATGAAGCTTCCTTTTTCTACTTCAAGAACCCTTGCATTGTAACACCGTTTTTCTCATTTTCATGGGACTGGTACATTGCTGGGATCGATTTGCTCACATTGGAGGGGCTGGGGCATGGAATACCTTTACATCAAAATATGCCCTCTCTTCCACTATAATCAAAAACAATATTAGGAGGTTTGAGACTACTTTTATTTGCACTGTGTTTGTCAATAGTACGTCTGAGATGATTCAAAAGCAGACTCAAAACTTTTAAAATAGTTAATAGTCAGGTCAAATTAAATCATATTGAACTTTGATTGGCGATGTCAACCGTTCCAGATCGTTGCTCTGCAAGGTAAAAATAATAGTTTGCACGGCGCCTTGAAGCGGCGAAGTCCTCCAAATTAGAACTTAATTAAGGTTTTACGTGTTATTATATAAAGTTGCTCTATCCAGAGCCCTTGCGCTTGCAGTGGCGCGCGCCCGCCTCACGAAGGTAAAACAAGCTTGACTTGAAACAAGCGCACCCGCAGTGGCGCGAAAGCACATGGTTAGATGAATATATAAAGCATTAAAGCACATTTATTGTACTAACAGGTCTCAAAGGCAAACTAATATAGCATAGTAGTATAATAGTTAAATATACAATTAAAACTTCACATATGCATAGCCATGTGCCTACGCGTACTGCGTGACGCGCTTGTTTCACAAGTAGGATACTGCGCTACTGCAAGCGAAAGGGCTATGGTTAGAGCAAAATTAAAACTACAAAATGAATCATTCAACTTGCTCTAACCAGAGCCCTCTCGCTTGCAGTAGCGCGCGACCGCAGTACGCGTATACACATGGCTATGTGAATCATTCAACCAAAGGAATCTGTAATCGTAATTGTGGAACTAAATTATTTAATGGTCATGGTTAAACAATTAAAAATGACTTTTCTTCATGCTCAAAAGCAAATAAAAAGCGCGCGCACGTTTGTCTATCTTCTAAAATTTCGTTTTATTTTACTGAGCCGCGCTCAGCCTGTCATTCCGCCGAATCGCTATTCTTTATTATGTTTATAAACATGATAGTCTAAGGTTTGTAGGTTTACAACCTACCAGGACGCGCGCCGAGTTCCAATATATGGAACAGATATTTTACGAGTATCACCCGTTCAATTTTTTGGTGTTATATATATAGTTAAATCAAAGAACTTGCGAAGTTTGCTCCATGATATTAACATTGAGTTCCCACTATAGCCGTAGTTTAAGATGTTGTGGAAAGGGCGTCTTTTGAGAAGCTCACTCATGCTGTTCCTTTTATTTGGTTTTATTTCACGACAGAAGATAAGCAGGTGAAGTGAGTTTTACTCCCATCGTCCATACTCACATTCACACAGTGGATAATCAAATTTACTGCTGTTGAATCGGTGAAGAAATTCATTCATTATGTTGTTAGGGTAGAACAGACTTAGAAATAAGGTTTCAAGTTGCCTTGATGTTTTGGGCGGAAGCTTAAGCTTTGTGGTGCTCACTGTAGTTGACTCTGTATAACTTTCCAACTGATACTGGCTGTTTATGGAAGATTGCCAAAGCTGTTCACTGTAATGTTTCATTACTGATTTACTGTAGCTGCATCCAAACTGTAGAATTTTCAAGGTCATGGTTATTTATGATGTTTTGATCCTCCCAGTGAAGTGTTTATGGTGTATCGATGATTTCACAATAGAAACTGAAATACATATTTAACTTTCCAGTAAGTGGGCTATAACTGCCTAATTGGGTTTGGGCATCGATAAATTTTTTCAGTGGATCCTCTATCAGGAAATATATTTAGTTTTAGGAGGTGCTTCACCGAGTTCACTTTGTTCGATATGGTTACTGGCAACACACTTAATATCATTTCAGCTGTAGACATTCTTACATTGAACACTGATTGACTTTCATCCTTTTTTCCA